CAAGTAAAGCATACCTGGCTGGGTATAACATGATGAGTCTTGAATGGTCGCACAACAAGGTCGTTCCGTAATTCATATGTTTCCCCTTCACCACAAGTACAATAGATTATAAGGGAAGGGAAATTCTGACAGGTATAATGAAAGATATGCAGAAGCAAATTCACTAAATCTACATACCAACATCAAGAGCTACTAAATCGAAATTAAGCTCCACTTGGCCCATGGATCTATGAATGTCGAATAACTCCTCTACATCATCTTTAATGCTAGGTGGCACAAAGATGGTCGGTGGTTTCAAGCTATAAAGAGCTCGAGTTGCTACATACATTGGTAAACCTCCCTGGAAACCCAGACAATATTTCATTAAGAAAAGAGGAGTTAGAGTCTAAGTAAAACATAAACTAACCTCAACTTTAGATACAAATTCATTAACTTGCAATCTTAATGTCTCCTATCCTAATAATTACCATAAAAGTTATGTTTCTTTCAGATTTAGTCTCCATCTTTAATACGTAGTATGTACCAGGTTCTAAGGAACTATCACTTGAAGTACCTTGGTAGGAGAATTAGACCAAGAAACGGTACAACAGAATCGCATAACTTTAATGTTTTCGGATAATTGAAACAGAGATAACATAGTCAATTTATCTTAAAGACGAGTCAGTAAATGACAAGATTATAAACTAGATGTCTAGAGCTATCATCAACTCTATAAAGATCAAAACACCAAGTCAAACGATTATCTCCACAAGCAACACAAGGAACAAAAGCTTAAATACAAGAATTTTTGAATAGGGACATTAATATTCAATCATAAAGCATACATATGCACCATATTAAAGGGTTAACTAGAAGCCCACAACCATCAGCCCTATAACACGTCGACTAAGTTGAAGATGAAAGACCACCACATGACTTTAATTCTCAAGTTATTTAAAGAAATGGAATCAATCCAAGTAATGAAAAGGTCACCAAAAAATGGTTTTGAAGCATTTCACACAGCCATGAGCAACCCACAGTCTCAACAAACAAGCTATATCTGAATTACTTGCTAACAAGTATCATAGAGGAGTTTACCACATTACCGGTCGAATAAAACATAGCAATTTAATGAACAAGAGAAGTATGAGAGTAGCTCAAGAGAAGCAAAAGACAATGAATCAATGGTTTTTCAGGATTTTCAATGGATTTAAGGAGAAATGAGTGCCTGTCATTTACAGACAAATCTTGGTTCATGCAGTCGACCCCATCTTATTCGTATCATTATCAACTAAACAACACAAGAATTAGCCAAGTCTAACACTTATTTCACAGCTAATGAATATCCAATTCAATTCAAATCCAAAGGGTATATAACCTGCACAATAAATTGACTTAAAGTGAAATAAAATTGGGATAAAATAGAAGCTTACAATATGATCAAGATGAGCATGAGTAATGCATACAAAATTCTGATGAACAGCGCGTAAAGGGCACCTCCCAATATCAAAAGCAACCTTGAATTCAGGAACAATAACACAAGTTTCATGGCCACCAACAGATAAACCTTCAACAGAATAACCTTCAATTTCAAACCCTTTTCTCTGAACTTCAGCCCTAGCTTTTCTGTACTCTTCTTCTTCAATTGCACGCCCAATTGCAGAGAATAACCCAGTACCACCACCAGACCCAGACCCTTTAACTGCTTCAACCCGACCCAAACCCAAACCCAAACCCAGTTTTGGTTTGTAGTTTAGAGAGAGATAGTGAGGTTGAATTGGGGATGAAAATGGTGAAATGGGGTCATTGAAAGTGTGAAGATAAGGTGGAGTGTTGGTTGGTGATGGTGTTGTTAGAATTACTTGCATTTTTGTATGCTGGTTATGGAGAAAATGGAAGAGGGAGAAAGAACAGGGTTTTGGAGGGGTTTTCTATCGTTGGCTATAAGGGGTTGGCTACTTGCAAGTTCGTAGTTTAAGTCAGGTTGGGTTAGCTTGTCAAGTTTGTGTTTGAATTAGAATTATTACTAGTATAGTACCCGTGCAATTGCACGGTATAATAAGTTTATATGTATTATTTACTTATCAAAATACAATTTTAATAATAATGATATAGTGGAAATCAAAAATTACGCTCTAACATATATAGCTCCTAATAAAAATGCGAGTCCCGCACCGTACTCGCCTCATTTGAAGTGAGTATGGGTCCAACTTTGGCAGATAAGTAAGTGGGTATGGGTACAAAAGTCATACCCACCGTGGGTAGCGAATAAGCAGTGGATTTGATGTCACACCCGCCTACCCGCTAGTTACCCGCTTACCCACCCAGTTACCCGCCAACTTATTACTACCACTAATTTTTATGTAATTTTTTTTGTATTTGTATACAAATTGACTACTTACTTATATAATTAAATTATGTATTTACAAAAATTCAAAGATAGCATAATGACATGTTCTATAGGAAATTTATTAAACAATTATTGTTAGGTTAGCGGATAAAAGACGGACGATTGGTGGATGGGGTGTATGTGGGTCTCCCGCTTAGGCGAATGTGGGTATTAAAATTTTACCTATCGCAGGTGCTGGGTAGGTCACAAGTATAATTTTTTTTTGGCAAATGCGGATATGGGGGAGGGGGCACACGCACCCGCCCCGCACCGCCCAACTGTCATCCTTACTTAAAATTATGAACCAATAATTAGGTAAAAATTTTAGTATTTGTTTTATCTTACCTTTGTATTTTTTGTTATATTCACTTACGTTTATGACGAGGTCTTCAATGTCATTATTTCATTAAATATTCTAATCATGTATGAATGTAATTATGAAATTTCAGGTTCTAACTCTGAAATTTACCGACTAAATAAATGTCATTTAACTGTTTTTCAAGTATTTTGTGAAAACGGACTAAATCCAATCCGTGTAAGGATTGTCCAAATTCTTCACAATCTTTGACTGAAGTCTTATTAAAAAAAATTGATTTTGTAAGTATAACCAGTTGCCCTATACTTTAAAAAAAAAAATTCCCTACTCAAAGTTAAAAATGGTGCAAGTTGAGCTTCATTCACAAGTTTTTCAAATCACTCAATAATTGTTTGTTTTATATGGCTTGCATCTTTGATCCATGTGATAAAAATTGTAGTAATTATTATATGCGTAAATAAAAATAGCATAATATAAAGATTTAACTAAAAAGTTCATCGTAAGTATGGTAAGATTGGTAACAATCCGTCATGTATACTATATTCTACTAACAATGCCATCATGTATATAAAACATACTCAATTAATTATATATGATATTAGAATTTAGAGATTTACTAAAAAGATCATCACAATTATGGTAACTTGTAACTTTTTACTAAATAAATTCTATATTCTACTAAACAATCCGTCAATTATATGATAGTGGAAACATTTTGTAAAAATTTCTACTTTAATGAATATAATGAAATTTTTTTTTACGTAGGATCAATAAAATTTATATTTTTTTGGCAAAAAATATTATATAAGATCAATTAATACTATTCTAGTATATACAAACTTTGATATTTTTCTTACATTATGCATAATACTTATAGGAAATAGAAGGTTTTAAAAATTTAGTGAATAATTGCTTTATCTAGGATAGCTTTAGGTTACTTTCTCTCTCTTTCCTTTGACTTTCAGTAATTTTTTTTTTTTAATTTTGATGGAGTTAGATGGACGCAAATTGAATATTTACATTATTCATATTGCCTTTGATTTTAGTTAGTTTTGAGTAATCAATAACAGTAATAAAACCTAACATATATGGATTCTATTAAAAGGCATGGGTTGGGTACTTAAACCATCGTCGTGACCAAACCGACAACACTAAAAAAGATATTTATGAACCGAATTAAAAAATTCGGGTGTTATAAGTTTCACATCAGATATCGAACGCTCGATCTGACATCCAAATATAAATTTTTGACTTTAAAATTATATCGAACGTCCGAGCAACTTGCATTTTCGTGTACTATTCACATGCGCAAATGAGGATTCGGCCATGCTCCAAAGAATGTATAGACTCGTCGCATTACAATAAAATAAATAAGATAAAATCATTTATGAAATACAAAATCAAACATTGAAATTACTATGCATGTCAGTATGTACGAACTACCAAATTACAGTAAACTATAGAGAGAAAATTGTTTAGAAACACTGATATTATTGTATAGTTTTATGTGGACCATGTGGTGGGATAAGGAGCGAAAAAAGTGAATAAAATTTATGAACATAAAAGGAATAAACAAAAGTGGAAAGATAAAATAATAACGAAGGGAGTACGAAACAAAGTATAAATGAGCTCAATTTATTGACTCCATTAACTTTAAATTGGCATCTTTGACAACACTTCACGTTCTTTGCCTACACCTTCTCTTATTTGCACTTCTCCGTCAATAGAGTTCAGTGACAATCATCTATACTTAGCATAAAAAATGGTAGCGAATCATAAAAAATATTCCTTCATCCATTTCAAATTGTTCCTCACTTACAATCTTTTTGTGAAACAAAATTGATCAAAGTGATAAGAACATATATAAAACGAAGGGAATAAATCATTTGGAACAGAAACGACACCAGCAATGCAATAGAGCATAATTCAGAGGTTGGCATTAAAAAATCATTCTTCTTCGTTGCAACCACAGTCGCCACTGCGGGCACAGTCCACTGCCTAATAAATAGCGGATCAAACAATATCCAAGATTTTGTACATATGATGCAGAGGTTTATGTGAATTATGATTTCTTGCAATGAGGTTGGAGTGTGGTTTCATTCAAAGATTGGAGATTTTTATTTTAAAAATATGAACTACAGAAAGTGTGAGATTCCAGTCGGTCCAGTCTCCGGTACGTGAAAGTGTGAGATTCCGGTCCTGGTCCGGTCTGATTTTGGGCCGTGCACAGCCATAGTCCAAGGTATTCTACTTTAAAAGTTTCAGTCTTTTCGAAACTGAAAAGAGTAAGGTTTAACAAATGTTTGGTGCCAAAACTTGCCAAATTAAAGTATCTATATATTTACCCCAAAAAATTTCAAATGATACTCCATAGCATTTAGTGTATTTACAATTTGATAATGGTACTTCTAGTGAAGAACTGAGAACTGTAACATGCTAATTTTTTATGAGAACAAAGCTTATGCATAATTTACATATAACACACAGAAATTACACTCGCGGAGCTTGATCATATAATCATACCCATATATACAGTATGTTACTTCGTATATGAAGTACAAGGAGCAAAGCTGCCTCTGTTTTCATACACAAACGTTAGGTTACATAGTCTGCAAGGCTCCCAGATGGTTGTATACAGGATCTAAATGTATGCAGCTTTCCCCGTAACCCCCATACACTGCAGCAAATAGCAATTCCTCTGACTCTGAATTGACATAAAATCCTATGATATCTGTATCAAAGCCTGACATGATCATCCGACTCCGAATATGCTACATCGCTGCAAACAATGAGACTGGAGTCTAGGTAATTTGTTATGGCATTTTCAAGGGTAAAACCATGAAACATGGGCAATGTAAACCCTTTCCAAAGACGTGCATTGGCATATGGTACGAAAACTGTTTCAACCACTGTCCGTATAACAGGCTGCAAACAAAAAAACGGGTCAAGTCCCAAATGCAGACTAAAAGCTTCAGTCATCCTAGCATTATACTCGTAGTCATGTAGATCTTAGGATACCCAAAATTCAATTCAAATTTTAAATCTTCAAAAACAAAACGAGATCCTAAAGTAGAAGCATAGCAGAACGCTTATGACTAGCACACACCACAATATCAATATTCAGTATTATGAAGTTTCGATCTACAAAATGACTAAATCTGTCAAGTTAGGGCCAAATATTCATAGAGGTTTGCATCTCCTCTAGATATCTGTCCAGTCAATAAATAGATGCAATTTTTATAATACATTAGAAACTACTATTTATTCATAAATACAAATACCTTAAGGAAAAACAGAAAGCAAACAATTGTTTTAAAAACTGTAAAAACAAGTTGAATGACATTTACCTGTATCAAAAACATCTTCAGATTACCAATCTTACTCCACTTTAATGCCATTTTGAAATCATCCACTTTTACCTTGCCCCCAAGATCATTACCTCTTATTCTTACAAAGCCAGAAGCATGAATTTCCTAAGACGAATACACAATGTGAAGTGAACATAACTCGTGATGTGAAATAAAATGCCAGCTAAAGCAACTGATGTGACAGTGCAGGCAATGGCTCCAATTATAGGTTCTCAACAAAATGATCAATAAGCTTGAATGCTTAATCTAGAAAGTGCAAAAAATTGATACAGACAGGAATTTTACGCTTCACATGCAACAAAGATATCTACATATTCACATGTTATTAAGCACAAAGACAAAACAGAATGTAGTACTCAATAATTCTACACCCCTATTTGGATTCGGTTATTAAGAGTTATAATCACTTGCTTAGATGTCCTTCAAATGAAACTGAAAAAGCCTCTATGCATATAACTTATTTAAAGCAGCCATACTCTGAACTAGAACTAAGAAAACTGCCAGGTCATTTAAAGTGTAAAACTACACTCCTATTTGGATCCAATTATTAAGAATATAATCAATTATTTAGATGTCCTCCAAATGAAACTAAAAAAACCTACCCTCTAAAGATCTATGCATATTGGTCATAACTCCAGCAATATCCCCCCCCCCCCTTCACCAACACAACCTTAAGTACCAATTAGCTTAAAGCCTTAAAGAGCCCCTCAATCCAAATGTAACGACTATCAAACACCATTAAACAACAAAAAGGAGCTTCTAAGATCTAAATCAAAACAATCTCAACCAAAGTGCCTGCCAAAATTGGAAGCTCTACTCTTGCCCATTTGAATTCTCCAGCCCCATAAGATACAGTAGCTCAAGGAAACATCACACTAGCTCATGACAGCTGTGCTTAAGCATCATGTTAACATTATATTTATAATCATGGTTGCCAGATTACGCAACTAACAGATTTCAATATGCATATGACATACAAGTAATAGGTCATGCACCTACAACTGTCAAACAATAAAAAAAAAAAAATAAAAAAAAAAAAAAAATAATAATAATAATAATAATAATAATAAAATAAACTAATTGCTATAGAACAAACAGCATACAAATAATCAGCTAATAAGCCCAAGTTGGAAAAACTAACCAGTAAAATGCATGCAACAGGTATTACTTGCCCACCTTCTAAGACGTCAATTATCAAGTCCACATTGGCTATAATGTCAATGTTTTTGGGGGAAATCCTTACAACTGGAGGAGAAGCGAAAGAGACATTCAAATTCATATCATCTTTTGGGTACTTCTTATAAAGCTGAGGAATAATAAACCTCCAACCAGCAGTGTTCAGGAGAGCCTGATTTGGTATCTTATCCACAATCCATTGCAAATAACCTGCCTAGCCACAAATACATATCTAATAAGTTTGATCAGCCAAAAAGCTTTAACTTTTAAATGAAAAGACTGCCCCTATGCTGTTTAAAACCTTTTATGCTATATAATGATTATAATCACACATAAAATCACCCTTAATTTAATGTGGAAATTAATTTATAAGCTCAAAAAGAAAGTAGTAATTACTTATATCAAAGATCAAATTGTTATTGCTAGGGAAGAGGATATTCCCTTATCATACTATCATAGTCAATATACAAAAATCATTCATTTTCCCTCCTTGTTTAGTATTTGGAATTTATACTCTAGAAACATCATTGAAGTTCTTTTTTAAACATTTTAATGGCTTGGCAAAAATCCCCTTGAATTAAGAAAATGCTGTCATTATTGTCTTCATCCTGGAAACAAAATCTGTAATCACGTAGAAGATTTCCTTGCTTTCATTTGTTTTGACTCAAGCCATTTCAAAATGTTAGCATAAAATACACACTAGATGCATAGCAAAGCCACTATTCATATGTATAACCAATCTGCACATGAAAAACACTTGCCATACATCACTTTTATGATTTATCTCATCTCATTTTGTCTCTGAACTCCATTCATTCACTGGTATTTTCATTAAGTTTCACAACTCCAGTCACGGGAGCTAAGGTCTTAACTTAAGTTTTTGCTATAGGCCACCCCTTTGATAGGGCATCACTCATATTTGATTGTTTATATGCTTCACAACTTCAATCTGTTAACTTAAATTAATGTTCTTTTGTTTGAGGTGTATTTGAAATTGTAAGAATTGCGTAATCAATGATAATTGACATTGGGAAGAAATTCAGAACAATTTGATGACAAATTAGTTTTTCTACAATCATAAGTAGAATCGTAGAAAGCTCAAATCAACATATATACATGCTCACTTTTCTGTGTTCAAGTCATATTCAAAGCTCCGGGATGAGAAATCACAAGGTTTTCATCGCTATTCAACATAAAGAAATGCAAAGGGAAAACAAAAGCTGAATATTAACACATGAATCTATCTAAATTTGAGCTTACCTCAAAGTACAAGTTGGAAGCTGAGTGAAAGACGGCTTCATCAATTGATATTCCTACCATTCTTGATGAATCCTGACAAGATAAAGCTTGCACATGCTCCTCATAGAGATTCAATTTCCACTTTTGATCTGTTGGAGTGGAGGAACCTTCTTTATGAAATAAATGGTCCTTGTAGAATTTGTTTTCCAATGCTTGATCTCTTCGAGTGAATAAACCATTGATATCAAATCCAATTGAAGAATTACTCAGGACTAAATCATTTACAAAAGTGACATTCAAGCACGCAACATCATCAACTGGTATCTGCTTTGGTAAGCTTTCAAGAGACAAAGCGAGCTTTAAAATTGCTTCTTTAAGATTCTTGGTAATAGCTTCCTCCACTGCTGCTTCAATTTGTCCAGCAAAAACATCTACAAGCCTTGGGAGAGTAAAGAAGTGAAAAGTTAAAATCATCAGAACACTCAGAACTGATGCAAATTTAATTTTAAACTGGTCACATCAACTCTTTATTATCCGACATGTAACAGTCCTTTAATACTCGGGAAATGCCAGTTCAAAAAGTTGAAAATTTGTTACATATCAATCAATATTTTGGCATTGGTGCAAAGATATACTTCCTCCATTTATTGTTAGATGAAACAATTCTATTTTTACACTAATCACATATTTTAGTTTCTTAAATTTTGCTGACTTATACATAAGCAAAAACAGTCGTGTTGGGATCTTGTTAGATTTGTCTAAGTGTATATTTTAAAATATGATTTTTATAATTTTTACCTATTGATAATCAAAGATATTAGTGGTCAAAGTGAAAAGAAAAGTGTTTCATCAAAATAATAATGGATGAAGCAGAGCTGTTTATACATTTTAATGTAGAGAGCCAGCAATCATAGAGTAGAAGTGTAATCAGCCTTTTTCTCAAGCAAAGACAAGTCAATAAGTAACTCTCAAATATAGATTGTGGAAGACGTTAACGGAGAATGACTTTCCAAAACGTAGCTACTTGAACAGAAACTCGTTTCACAATTGACTCCAAATTCCAAAAAGAGAGTTCTTAAAACCTCTATGGTCCACCCTCTTTCTCAAGAATCAAATATGGTGATCACCAGTGAAGCATTTTCAGGTTAGTACTCCATCCTCACCCTTTTCTTTCTCTCTCTTCATCGTTCTTCCTGGCTTCCTTTTCTTCTTTCTTCATTTGCTATCACTTCCTCTACAAAGATCTTAGTGTTGTTCCTCTTCATTCCTTTATTTCTCTTTTTTATTTTTTATCTGGGTAATGGGTGCCATACAAATTGATAATTTGAAATAGTCGCGTAGCTGCTCCCTCCCTCTCCTATTCTCTATTTTTTTTTCTCTTTTTTTTTTTTCAATTCACAATAAGGTATTTTAATTCACTTATTTAGACTACCACATCTTGCTAATACCTTGCGCTTAGGCTCCGGGGACCTTTTCTGCCTTGCACCTTTAAAATATAGCAGATTGACAGATAAAGGGAATGTTGTACATTACTCAAGAGATAATAGTGGTTGGTTTTACATTTTGTGAGAGAACAATGCTCTCAAATGCTTGTAACTATCCTCTATTATTGTTATTTTCCAATTATTCAATCAAATATCTTCAACCCCTCATCTTCACATATGTTTCTGCCCCAACTCCATTACCGCACTACCAAAAAGGTAGGTAATGGAGCCTCTTAATTCTATGATTTCTATCCAAAGCTAATCTGATTCTTAGCATGTTTGTCCAACTTACAATACAAGTCGGAAAGTCCAGCCTTCAAAAAAGGTCATGTACAGAAGATATATGTAAAAGCTGTGTATACTACGGTGGATGTGTGGTACACTGATAGCACAAGAAGAGATAGAATCTCCATTGGAAAGATATATGGTTGTAGTGCCATTGGATAAGATAAAAAACCGACAATGGTGATTGGGCTATGTTCAATGTTAACATCAGAAAATGCTGGGTCATAGAATGGAGAATTGAAAATGAAGATTTTAAAAAGAAAAAGGGAGGACTTGAGATGTTCTGGACAAAAGGGGTTAAAACAGGACCTGAAAACAATTGGATTGATTGGGGAGAATGGATGCGAAAGATTTGCTTTAACAAATCATGTAAATGTCTTCTTGGCCTTTGCAACCGACTCCATCCATCTGGGATCAACACTATGATATTGTTATCATTGTTGTTCGCCACACAGATCTATCATATGGCTAATGATTTGATAAATAAATCTTGATGTACATGAAAATAAATGATGGATAAATGTCACTTAAATATATCACCATTCACCAGAAGAAGTTAAAAGATAAATACCCTTGATAAAGCCAAGATGCACCTCCATCCAATTTGATAGAGAGATCTTCAACAAAGCAACCACATTCAACAGGTGACAGTTTCAGCCTTCCTTCTTGGATTTCTAAATACAAGGTGAGGCCTACTTGCATCCCTTCTACCTTTGAAATAACAAATATTTACAAAATAATCAATATGAAAGTACTAGTCATAAATTCATATAGTTGTATGGACTAGATAATTGACCTAATCAGGAAAGTTCAGCAAGTCCACTTCAAAAGATGTTTTTTGGATGTGAGTAGACTGGCCCAAAATGGAAGACATAAAGGATGATGATTGTTTAGATAAATGATCACCCATCAACATATGTCAAATCATAAACAGAATAATAAGAATATGATATCAGTTACTCCTTAATTTTCTTCCAACCTCTATTTTGAGGTCCAAAAACTTTCTTCTCAATCATTTTGAGTTTAAGATAACTGTCTGACTTCCTCCATCAACCACCTTCTTCTTCACTCAAGGCGCAATGAGGCGATAAAGGTCCTGATGTGCCTCTTTGAAGTGAGATGCACGGTAAAAAGCAATATAAAAAATTTGCTTGTGTACGCCTCATTGAATGTACCTCTCCTAGTGCAAAAAAGACGTCCTAAGCCTCTAACCTAATCGCCTAGTGCCTCAGCTCCTAGGCGTGCCTTTTTTATACACTGATATAAAGGTAGTTTAATTATGGAGCTCATTGCATCTAAGAACACACTTCAAGTCAAGAGGAAGACTGTTTGGTGGATACAGCATGAATTGAAAGATAGAAAGTGTTGCAAGTGTTTTCCCAAGGTCCCTAAAAATCTGCTTAGCATGACCAAATACCTCACCTTACACTTTTTATGGGCCACATGTTGGAGTCACGAATCCCACACTCAAATGTTTCAAACAAACATGATGGACACAACTAGAAGAAAAGTTTCCCAAAACAATTTATCTGTATTCATAATAAAGCAAGGTCTGAGGAATGAAACTACTATGAGACATTGAGACCATTTTAGCCGTAAACAAGACTAGATGCAAATGTAACAAATACTTCAAATTTCAATCCATAAATCAGTGATTCGGTAGGTACCACCATCCCACTTCCCACTAAAACTTGAGTAGAGGCTGAAAAGAGTCAAAGGACACAAAAATTGAGTCCAATCGATAATAGATACAATATTACATTCCAATAAAAACAAAAGAAGGCAGCAAATTCCACATTCAAAGGCTTATACTATAGTCATCAATGTATCCAATGTAAATGGACTCAACCACCCCAAGCTCCGCCATCCGGAGACAGGACCAACGCTGGACATGATAATCATATTTTTATTTTTTTGGGTAAGAAGAATGACCCTACTGGACCATCAGCCACGATGCTTGAGAGTAAAGGGGAGGTAAATTCCTACTCCCAAACAAATGTAGTTGTTGGAGTTCGAACTTGTCACAAGGTGAGTTCCCCACCAGCTCCACCAAGCAAGCTTGGTTACCGCCTTACCAGGCAGGCATGATAATTGATCAGTATCATAACAATTACACCAATCAACATAGAATACAGTATACATACAAATTAATTCAATTCCAATCAAAGAAAAAAGGTCCAAAAGCAGAAAACCAAAAATTAGAGAGTACCTGAATAGAAGCAAACCCGTGATCAGAAAAGTGCAAAGGAAAAAACCAACCAGAAGAATAAGAATAATACCAATCCAAACTCATATTAGCTGTAGCCCCGGAAACAATAAAGGCAACACCGGAGTCTCCGGGGGTAATGTAGGAATCAGAAACCCTGATTTGGTGAAGAGAGATGTTGGATAATCGAACAAAGACATTCCCAAGAAAAGGGATTTGGATGGATTGATCAATTTGGGGGATTTGAAGAGGGGTTAAACCGGTGATTGCTTTGGAAATTAGCAAGTCTTTGAGAAAGTTTAAACCTTTGGTTGAGATTAGGAAGGAGAAGTATGAGGTTTCGCCGGAGAAGGTGGTGGTAGTTGCGGTGGTGGAAGGCGGTGGTGGAAGGAGGAGGAGGGAGGAGAGGAGGAGGAGAGAGAGAAGAGGTGGTGGGAGTTTCATGGGAAAGTCAAAGTAGAGAGAGTCAGACAGATGGCGGTAACTCAAGGAAGGAAAGAAAGAGTTTGTGTTTTCTATGTTTGTTAGGGGAATTAGAATTGAGATTAGAGAGGGGGGAGAGAGAACGGATGTGTAAGTGCGATTAATTGGTTGTTAAGACTTGTTTGGTTTACCTTATTTTTATTTATCTGATGTGGTGGGAGTTTTATGGAAAAGTTAGAGAAAATAGAGTTAGAGAAATGGCACTAACTCAAGGAAGGAAAGAAAGAGTTAGTGTTCTCTATTTTTGTTTGGGGAATTAGAATTGAGATTTTTTTTTTTTTTATTTGAAAGAATTAGAATTGAGATTAGAGGGGGAGAAAGAGAGTGTAAACGCAATTAAATGTCTGTTAGTTGTTGGTTGTTTTACTAAATTGAGTAGACGGTTTGATTGCAAAAGTGCAACCTTAGGCCCCGTTCATTTCACCTTATTTTTGCTGAACTAAAATTATTTTTACTGAACTTAAATTATTTATGCTGAACTTAAAATATTTTTACTGAACTGAAATTAATTTTACTAAATTGAAATTATTTTTGCTGAACATAAATTAATTTTTACTGATTTTCTGTTATATTTTTTCTTTAAAGTTACTGATTTTTACTGAACTGAACTTATTTTTATTGAACCGAACTTATTTTTGTTGAACTGAAATTATTTTTATAGAACTGAAATTACTTTTACTGAATATTTTTTTTTAAGGTGAAGTGAACAAGGTCTTACATTGTTTGTTTCAGTTTAATACTCCTAAATAAATTTGGTCATTTATTCAAGAATATATGCATGGATCTCGGAAATAAGGCCCATGGCATGACAATTTTTTACACTGCGGACTTCCAAGTCATTTGAGTCATAAACATTTTTAGTACAAATTTCATACAAATGATCAAAATAGTGCCAAAAAAAATATATAAAAATGATAATTTTCCTTAATTTAAATTTCAAAAACGAATATTTATTTTCAACAGCTAGATATTAGTCGAAAGATTGTATTGGGGGGTGGGGGGGTGGGGAAGAGAGAACGGATGTGTAAGCGCGATTAATTGGTTGTTAGGACTTGTTTAGTTCACCTTATTTTTATTTATCTGATCTGGTGGGAGTTTTATGGAAAAGTTAGAGGAAATAGAGTTAGAGAGATGGCGGTAACTCAAGGAAGGAAAGAAATAGTTAGTGTTCTCTATGTTTGTTTGGGGAATTAGAATTGAGATTTTTTTTTTTTAAAGAATTAGAATTGAGATTAGAGGGGGAGAAAGGTTGTGTAAACGCAATTAATTGTCTGTTAGTTGTTGGTTATTTTACTAAATTGAGTAGACGGTTTTGATTAGGGGATTTTTATCCTCCAATCACCGTCTGACAAGTGGACCAACCAGGTTCCGCCACGTGTCCTTCACGTAGGCCAATAGGAGCCTGCCACGTGTCAATCACAGATTCGTCCTCTGCGGACCAATTGAGACACGCCACGTGTCCACCCGTGCCAAATGGGAAAACCGGCCATCAAGGCCCAATCCAGTCTAGAGGCCCGATCAGCCCTAGGTTTACCTTAAACCTAGAGAGTGGCACGCTTCTCAAGGCTATAAATACTTAATTAATCCTCATTAGTTGAGGGATCGAAGAAAAAATACATTAATTACACACAGTAATAACCGGCTGATCTCGCTAACAAAGCAGATTACCAACACTAAGCACTCTCACCTAGAGAGACCTTATTACTTTAATTTCCGTATTAATTACTCCTTAATCAGGTACTAACTTGACCGTTGGAGGCGGAGCTCTCAGGAGTCTCCGTTATTTTGCAGGTACAGGCGTCCGGTTCCAGTCTCGGAATTGTAACTCTCCCGCAGGACATCAGAAAACCCCGAAACATTTGGCGCCGTCTGTGGGGAGAGTACTTCAGAGATGGCATCCAATTCTGTACCGACTCCAGAAGAGAGGCGTCCCCTAGACGACCCTCAAGTTCAGTCAGACCATGATACCGAAAGTGAATTTGAAGTTGAAACTCATACAGCTCCAGACGGGACCCTAAGGGCCCGACGTACCCGTCATACCGAAAGGAGGGAACGGGAGCATCTTCAAACAGGAAGCGAGCCAGCAGGCGCACCGCTTGCTCGGCAACAGCCGACTGATGGGTCTGCTCCCATCACAAGGAACGAACTCATGACCTTCATGAGGGACTTCAAGGGAGAGATTCAAGAGTTGATCAACAAAAAACCGCCTGCTTCAGTCAAAGAGCAGTCGGCCAAGAAACCTTCCACTTCACTGAAGAGGAAGCCAGTTCAAGGGCGAGAGGCGACTCCTCATCCTAAATCCAAAAAGCGGGAGACACCTGCTCTTGATTTCACAAAGTTCCGTTATCCTACGGGAAATAGGAAACCGGTTCGTCATATTCAGGCGGACGGGTCAAAGCAAACGTTCACAGATGCTCGGCTCCTGCTAGAGCAGAAGAAGAGTGACCGATTATCAGAGTCGGCTTCTACTTCAAATTTTCAAGACAGTTTGCGAAATGCCTCGATGAGGCATACTCAGTCGTACCATGAGAGTCAGTCAGGCGGCACCTCCCGTCAGTCCGGCTTTCATAGTGCCCAGGCGGTACCAAACTTACCATTTGTGCCGCAACAACAGTATTTTATGCAGCCACCTCCATTTGGTGGACCTGCAGCAAAAAACGTCCAACCTATGGACTGGCAGCTACGGCTGCTTAGACTTGGTGAACAGCCGTCGGCCTTCTCCAAGGAAATTACTGAAGCCGCTCAGCCGGCCAAAGTAAAAAATGTTCTAGTAGGCGCCTATGACGGCACTACTAACCCAGAAGACCATCTGATGGCATTCACCAACCTGATGTACCTTCAAGGGTTGGATGATCCCACTTGGTGCAAGTGTTTCCCAGCGACTCTCAAGGGAATTGCACAGCAATGGTTCGGCAACCTGCCGACTGGTTGTGTAAACAACTTCAGGACGCTTGCTTACTTATTTGCCTCCAACTTCGCTATGAACATCCCTGCGAAGAAAACGGCCCTTGATTTGGGAACAATTCAGCAGGGCGAGAAGGAGGGGCTTCGTTCTTACATCAGGCGATTCAACCTGATGAGAATACAGATTCAAGGGCTACCGGATGAGGTAGCTTATACTGACTTTTTTAGAGGTCTCAAAGACGGGTCTACCTTCAAATTTGATTTAGTTCGAAAAAGGGTGGCGACTCTTCAAGAGGCCTTGATTGAAGCAGAAGCCTATATACAGGCGACTGATCTGTGTACGATAAAACAGTCGGACGGAAAGAGGTTCGACAAAAGAGAGGGACGACAGAAACAGTCGTCCAACAAAGATGAGAAAAGAAAAGAGGTCTGGGCGGCTGATTCCTCTAAACAGCCGGCTCAGAAAAAGAAAAAAGAATTCAAACCATACTCCCCAAAGTATGTGTTTAACAAGGATAACCAGTCTATCCTAAAAGAAATGAAGGGACGGTTCTCAATTGAGAAGCCGCTCCCCATGAAGGGTTCTGTAAGCAACCGGAACCAAGACAAAATCTGTGCTTATCATGATGACGTTGGTCATCACACCAATGACTGCATCAGTCTCATGCGGTACCTAGACCGCTTGGCTGAGCAGGGTGATCTTGACACTTATGTCAAGAAACCTACGGGGAACACCTCCTCAAAAAAGCAGTCGGCCAAAAAGAATCAACAGGCCGACAGTTCCGACACTGATGATGCAGTCGTCTACACCATTGCAGGCGGCTTCTCAGGAGGCGGCCCCACTATTAGGGGCAACAAAGATAATATAAGGCGGTTAGATGTAAATTCCGTTCACCAAGAACGGCTGTCCCAATATACTTTTCCTGAGATTGTTATCACTGAAGAGGATCTAGGAGGGGTAAGGGGGCCGCATGACGACCCTCTCGTTATTGAATGTAAAGTGGCCAACCAGAGAGTTGGCCGAATCCTCATAGATACCGGGAGCTCCTCAGATCTCATCAGCAGCAAATGTCTGTCAAAACTGAAATATCAGACGGACTGCATACATCCGGCCTCCCACCCTTTAATAGGGTTTGGAGGAGGAGTCGTCCACCCACTGGGACGAGTAGATTTACCCATTCGCCTGGGCGAAAAAGGGGAAGGACGACACATGGTAGTCCGGTTCCTAGTAGTAGAGGAACTCTCGGCCTACAACATGATTCTGGGGCGACCAACCCTGAATAATTCCAAGGCTGTTATAATCCCGTCTCTTATGCTGCTTAAGTTTGAGAGGGATAATGGAACAGTCGGCTCCCTAAGGGGAGATCAGAGGATGGCCCGAGAGTGCTATCTCTCGGATGTCAAGCCCACTGTTATGGCCACTGGGTCAAGTGGAGGAAAAACAGACCTTGACAATGTCAAGGAGAGTGCGCCTGTTCAAGAAACAGGCGACAAAAAGAGAAAGGCGTCCCAGACAGAGTCCGCAAGAAAAGCAAGAAAATAGCAATCATTGGCAGAGGAGCGGCCGGATGAGTTCCGCCCTCAGCCGGCTGGTGAGCATGCGGACCTGATATTAGACGACTCACGTCCTGACCGAACAGTCAAAGTTGGGACGACTGCTCTGAGAAACCTTGGTGACGACCTTCACAACCTGTTGAAAGAATACAAGGACATCTTTGCATTTGAAGTCCATGAAATGCCAGGCATTAGTCCTGATCTGGCGGTACATAAACTTGCTGTGGATCCGAAAAAGAAGCCGGTACGGCAAAAGAAGCGGAACCATGGCGAAGAAAGAAGTCAGGCGGCAGCCGCCGAAGTTAAAAAATTACTTGATGCAGGGTTCATTCGGCAATGTTACTTCCCAGACTGGGTTGCAAATGTGGTGCTTGTTAAAAAGCCGAATGGCACCTGGCGAATGTGTGTAGACTACACAGACTTAAACAAGGCGTGCCCCAAAGACAGTTACCCTCTGCCTAAAATTGATAACCTGGTCGACTCAACAGCCGGCCATGCCTTGATGAGCTTCATGGACGCCTATTCTGGTTTCCATCAAATTCCCTTATGGAAGAAAGATCAGGAGAAGACGGCCTTCGTCACTGATCAGGGGTTATACTGTTACACGGTCATGCCGTTTGGTCTTAAGAATGCCCCGGCTACCTTCCAACGAATGATAAACACAGTGTTCTTTGATCAAATTGGGAGAAACGTCGAGGCATATATTGATGATATGATTGTCAAGACTAAACTTCAGAAAGATCATCTGACGGACCTCCGAGAAACTTTCGCCACACTCAGGCGGCACCGTGTCATGCTCAATCCCAAGAAATGTGTATTTGGAGTTGAGTCTGGGAAATTTCTCGGATTCCTTATCAATCAGAGAGGAATAGAGGCGAACCCTGAGAAGGTACAGGCGGTCATTGACATGCAGTCGCCTCGTACCGTCCGAGAGGTTCAGAAGTTAACAGGTTGTCTGGCGGCCTTGGGGAGATTCCTAAGCCGATCAGGCGACAAATGCCTATACTTTTTCCAGGCAATTAAGAAA